GGTTCTCTGGGAGCAGGACGTCTTCAAAATTTTCAGTGAAACAATTTTGCTACATAAATAATATTGTTGTAAAACAGCAACAACCAGAAGAAAGCATAAAGCAACTTGTATATTGTGTAGTGCTTCACTTGTCTCAACTCAGAGGCTGAAGCCACGCCCTTCGTAATCGGTGTAGGCTGCATAAAGCAGCTGTGAAATGAGACGGTCTGGTTTTTGGATGTAAGTGGACCACGCGCTGCCTCATTACCATGTTTTATATTTCGTGTCTTCAGACTTAAAATGAGTTGAGATATGTATTCACATAAATAAATAAAAAGACATTAATAATTTAGTTTTAGCTCCAGTATCAGTACTTGTAATTGCTTTTCATTTAACATCTCATTGCAGTAAAAATTTCATCAGCTAAGTTGCAAAACATACATTTAAAAACAAATACTTCAGTCCACGATGAATTTCAAGACTACACCGTCTTGGTAAAAAAAAACAAAAAAAAAAAAACAGTCATTTTCCTGTTTAGTTTGCTGATGGCACAATGAATGCTGGGATATCGTTGGCCAGGAAGGATACTCAGCTGCAGCCTTTATTTTCGGGGTTTTGTTTGCCGCGTGAGAAGGAGCCCACGAATTGGGACAGCCTCCAGCGTGGAGCAATGGCGTAAGGGGACGACAAATACGGAGTACAAAGGATGCAGCCCCTAAATTGAGAYACAGTCTAAGAAAAAACTTAAAAACTATCGTAAAAGTTGTAAAATAAAATAATAAAAAAAAGTAAAAATATTTTCAAGCTACTTGCTAAACGCAGCCATAAGCACACGTCTGTCAGTAACTCTCAAAAACACAAGAGTTAAAACACCAAGACAAGGAAAAAAAACCTTTTAAATATGTATTTACCAATTTATGTAGCAGGGACATTTTCACCATCCAATTTGTGCTCACACAGCACTGCAGCGTTAAGACATTCCATAGTTTTGTCACTTCAGACCAACTATAAACATCTAACTGAATCTAGTGTAYATTTGAAAAGACTCACCTGAACATTAATTGATGAAGGTGGTCTTTCTACTGGCTGAGGTCTGGCTGCTGCACCATCCCTGGGTTTATCTTGATCTTCTTTCTCCTTCTCTTTCAAAGATTTATTCTCTCTTTGAGATGAATCTGATTCCRTGTGTTTGCTCTGTGGCTGGGCTGTGTTTGCAGCAGCAGTCGCTCCATCTACCTCATCTCGTGTCTCCGGCTGGTCCTCGGCCCCTAGCTCAGGGCCCTCTGGCTCAGGGCCCTGTGCCTCAGGGCCTCCTGGCTCAGGACGTCTCTTGCGCCGCTCATCTGTCTCATCCAGACCAACATGATGGTCAACATTTCTCAGTGTCTCTACACTGATAGGTGCCGGATTTTCTCTGAACCTGTCGGGCCGCCTCTGGTGAACGTGGTTCCTGTCTAACCTTGCGTCGTCAGCTCGGTGCCTCGGGACCTGCTGTAGGGCAGGGGCAGGGGCATCCCCTCCTGCCAAGAACCCACGGTCCTCAATCCTCGGAGGAGGMTGCTGTCGCTGACCCAGCTCTGGAGGAGGCGGATCTCCTCGATGAAGGCGAAGAGGAGCCATGATGCCATGCCTGAAGGAAGCTTGCACACTTCCATAAACAACCACCTGTGAATGAGTTACACACACTGTTATAAAAAATACTTAGATTTATCAAATTAAATGAGAGTAAACATATTTATCTTTACCAAAATAGCAAGCACRATAGTGATGAGGACTGGAATCTGAAGAGTAATGGGCAGATCTTTGAGGAGGGCTCGAAGAAACTCACTTATCCCCTGCCCAAGATGTTTCAACGGGTCCGTGAAGAAGGTTGTGAAGGTAACTGAGATCGCCTAAACAGAAAAAGATTTTAAGAGCAAACCATAAACATATGACCATACCAACAGGTCAAACCTCAGAGGAACATAACAGAGGGCAAGAATGCAGACCAGAGATTCATTTTAGCAGCACAAGTGTCACACATACCATTAACCCTGCTCAACAATAC